GACTAAGAACAAGTCACTCATTAGGGACTCCCCTGGACTAGGACTAAGAACAAGTCGCTCATTAGGGACTCCTCCAGACCAGGACTAAGAACAAGTCGCTCATTAGGGACTCCTCCAGACTAGGACTCAGGACAAGTCACTCATTAGGGACTCCTCCAGACCGGGACTAAGAACAAGTCACTCATTAGGGACTCCTCCAGACTAGGACTAAGAACAAGTCGCTCATTAGGGACTCCTCTTGTTTTGCACCGCTGGGCTTTCTGGATGGGGGATGGGGTAGGGCGGAGCTAAACATCTGCAGAGGCTTTGTGCTTCCAGTGATCAGTTTCTGCGGTGATTTCATTGGTCCAGTGCAGCCTACACATGCATGGCTCCTGGCAGTGAACACACAAAGTCGCACACGTATGTGGGGCAGACTCCAGTCCTGGTCTGCGTGTACAGTACAGCCTACACATGCATGACTCCTGGCAGTGAACACACAAAGTCGCACACGTATGTGGGGCAGACTCCAGTCCTGGTCTGCGTGTACAGTGCAGCCTACACATGCATGGCTCCTGGCAGTGAACACACGAAGTCGCACACGTATGTGGGGCAGACTCCAGTCCTGGTCTGCGTGTACAGTACAGCCTACACATGCATGGCTCCTGGCAGTGAACACACGAAGTCGCACACGTATGTGGGGCAGACTCCAGTCCTGGTCTGCGTGCACAGTGCAGCCTACACATGCATGGCTCCTGGCAGTGAACACACGAAGTCGCACACGTATGTGGGGCAGACTCCAGTCCTGGTCTGCGCGTACAGTGCAGCCTACACATGCATGGCTCCTGGCAGTGAACGCACGAAGTCGCACACGTATGTGGGGCAGACTCCAGTCCTGGTCTGCATGTACAGTGCAGCCTACACATGCATGGCTCCTGGCAGTGAACGCACGAAGTCGCACACGTATGTGGGGCAGACTCCAGTCCTGGTCTGCGTGTACAGTACAGCCTACACATGCATGGCTCCTGGCAGTGAACGCACGAAGTCGCACACGTATGTGGGGCAGACTCCAGTCCTGGTCTGCATGTACAGTGCAGACTTCAGACATGCATGGCTCCTGGCAGTGAACGCACGAAGTCGCACACGTATGTGGGGCAGACTCCAGTCCTGGTCTGCGTGTACAGTACAGCCTACACATGCATGGCTCCTGGCAGTGAACACACGAAGTCGCACACGTATGTGGGGCAGACTCCAGTCCTGGTCTGCGTGTACAGTACAGCCTACACATGCATGGCTCCTGGCAGTGAACGCACGAAGTCGCACACGTATGTGGGGCAGACTCCAGTCCTGGTCTGCATGTACAGTGCAGACTTCAGACATGCTAAGGACAAAGCAGTGCTGAGCCAAGCCTTGGCCTGGAAGCTCTGACAGCAAAGCCAATGACAAGGCCAGAGCCTGTATGTGCCTCACTCGGTGTGATCCTGGATTTCTTCGGGAGGTTTTCGGAGTGTGGTTACCCTTTAAATACCTTCCCTAAGTTCCTCAGAAAGTAGGTTACACCTCGATCCATAATTCATGCTAAGCAGCGGGGCTGTAATTGTGCAAGCTGCTCCCCTGCATTAGTGTCAGAGCGGCACGTGGACTCAGGAATGCACACAATAGTAATTAGGAGGGAAAAGTGTGTCACCTCCTCCGCATCCATCTTATGGAGACATCCTCCGGGAGGGGCTGATATTCGTCAAACACTTTGTGAACTCAGGACAGTCATCATCGAGAAATCCGAAAATGATACAACTGACAAACAGCTTTGTATGAGCTTTTACCCAACTAGTGGGGCCTTTTAAAAAAAAAAAAACGAAAACCCGTAAGTGTACAAAAAACGTGTAAATTCATAAACACAAAAAAGTGCACTTAAGGGTGTGCTTTTGTCCACCCCCCCCCCCCCCCCGAAGGGGTAGGACCTCTACCCTGATCCCCCCAGGGCGCAAGGCTCCTGTCGAGGGGATCTCACCAATAAAGTCCCTGAGAGATAGGAGAACCTATCAGGGAGGGATCTCACCAATAAAGTTCTCTGGAGATAGAAGAACCTGTCATGGGGGATCTCATCAATAAAGTCCTGTCATGGGGGATCTCATCAATAAAGTCCTGTCATGGGGGATCTCATCAATAAAGTCCTGTCATGGGGGATCTCATCAATAAAGTCCTGTCATGGGGGATCTCATCAATAAAGTCCTCGAGAGATAGGAGAACCTGTCAAAGAGATCTCACCAAGAAAGTCGTCAAGAGATAGGAGAACCTGTCAAGGAGATCTCACCGAGAAAGTCCTCAAGAGACAAGAGAACCTTTTAGGGGGATTTCACCAATAAAGTCCTAGAGAGATTGGAGAACCTGTCGAGGGGATCTCACCAATAAAGTCCCTGAGGGATAGGAGAACCTGTCAGGGAGGGATCTCACCAATAAAGTTCTCCAGAGATAGAAGAACCTGTCAGGGGGATCTCACCAAGAAAGTCCTTGAGAGATAGGAGAACCTGTTGGGGGATCTCATCAATAAAGTCCTCGAGAGAGGAGAACCTGTCATGGGGGATCTCACCAATAAAGTCCTGTCAGGGGGATCTCACCAAGAAAGTCCTTGAGAGATAGGAGAACCTGTTGGTGGATCTCATCAATAAAGTCCTCGAGAAATAGGAGAACCTGTTGGTGGATCTCATCAATAAAGTCCTCGAGAGATAGGAGAACCTGCCATGGGGGATCTCACCAACAAATTCCTTAATAGATAAGAGAATCTGCCATGGGATATCTCACCAATAAAGTCCTGTCAGAGGGATTTCACCAAAAAAAGTCCTCAAGAGATAGGAGAACCTGTCAGGAAGGGATCTCACCAATAAAGTTCTCTGGAGATAGAAGAACCTGTCATGGGGGATCTCATCAATAAAGTCCTGTCATGGGGGATCTCATCAATAAAGTCCTCGAGAGATAGGAGAACCTGTCATGGGAGATCTCACCAACAAATTCCTGAATAGATAGTAGTACCTGTCATGGGATATCTCACCAATAAAGTCCAGTCAGAGGGATTTCACCAAAAAAAGTCCTCAAAAGATAGGAGAACCTGTCAAGGAGATCTCACCAAGAAAGTCGTCAAGAGATAGGAGAACCTGTCAAGGAGATCTCACCAAGAAAGTCCTCAAGAGATAGGAGAACCTGTCAAGGAGATCTCACCAAGAAAGTCGTCAAGAGATAGGAGAACCTGTCAAGGAGATCTTACCAAGAAAGTCCTCAAGAGATAGGAGAACCTTTTAGGGGGATTTCACCAATAAAGTCCTAGAGAGATAAGAGAACCTGTCAAGGAGATCTCACCAAGAAAGTCCTCAAGAGATAGGAGAACCTGTCAAGGAGATCTCACCAAGAAAGTCCTCAAGAGACAAGAGAACCTTTTAGGGGGATTTCACCAATAAAGTCCTAGAGAGATTGGAGAACCTGTCGAGGGGATCTCACCAATAAAGTCCCTGAGGGATAGGAGAACCTGTCAGGGAGGGATCTCACCAATAAAGTTCTCCAGAGATAGAAGAACCTGTCAGGGGGATCTCACCAAGAAAGTCCTGTCAGGGGGATCTCACCAAGAAAGTCCTTGAGAGATAGGAGAACCTGTTGGGGGATCTCATCAACAAAGTCCTCGAGAGAGGAGAACCTGTCATGGGGGATCTCACCAATAAAGTCCTGTCGGGGATCTCACCAAGAAAGTCCTTGAGAGATAGGAGAACCTGTTGGGGGATCTCATCAATAAAGTCCTCGAGAGATAGGAGAACCTGTCATGGGGGATCTCACCAACAAATTCCTTAATAGATAAGAGAATCTGCCATGGGATATCTCACCAATAAAGTCCTGTCAGAGGGATTTCACCAAAAAAAGTCCTCAAGAGATAGGAGAACCTGTCAGGGAGGGATCATTTCATTGTTTCATTGTTGCTGTTCTCAGTTGGTAAACATCTGACTTGCCCACTAGACAGTAAAAGAAATGCAGAGAGAACGAGAACACCACAGAAATGTTGTAAGTCCACAAGAAGAAGCCAACAGGTTTTGAGGGCCAGCAGTCCCTCTTCTTCAGGGCTTAGATGCTGATAATAAATGAGAAGACTAAACAATGGGTTCTACAATAAAAGCGAAGGCTATGGGTGGCCTGACTGAGGAGTGTTGACCCCTGAAATGTGTCGGCTTCTTTTTGTGATCTTACAGAATTTTTGTGGTAGTTTTGTTTTATTTACATTGCAGAGAATGCGGGGTCCGGGGAGAGCGGATATAGTGAATGCGGGGTCTGGGGAGAGTGGATATAGTGAATGCGGGGTCCGGGGAGAGCGGATACAGTGAATGCGGGGTCCGGGGAGAGCGGATATAGTGAATGCGGGGTCCGGGGAGAGCGGATACAGTGAATGCGGGGTCCGGGGAGAGCGGATATAGTGAATGCGGGGTCCGGGGAGAGTGGATACAGTGAATGCGGGGTCCGGGGAGAGCGGATATAGTGAATGCGGGGTCCGGGGAGAGCAAATATAGTGAATGCGAGGTCCGGGGAGAGCGGATATAGTGAATGCGGGGTCCGGGGAGAGGGGATATAGTGAATGCGGGGTCCGGGGAGAGCGGATATAGGGAATGCGGGGTCCGGGGAGAGTGGATACAGTGAATGCGGGGTCCGGGGAGAGCGGATATAGTGAATGCGGGGTCCGGGGAGAGCAAATATAGTGAATGCGGGGTCCGGGGAGAGCGGATATAGTGAATGCGGGGTCCGGGGAGAGGGGATATAGTGAATGCGGGGTCCGGGGAGAGCGGATATAGGGAATGCGGGGTCCGGGGAGAGCGGATATAGTGAATGCGGGGTCCGGGGAGAGCGGATATAGTGAATGCGGGGTCCGGGGAGAGGGGATATAGTGAGGAGAGCGGATATAGGGAATGCGGGGTCCGGGGAGAGCGGATATAGTGAATGCGGGGTCCGGTGAGAGGGGATATAGTGAATGCGGAGTTCGGGAAGAGCGGATATAGTGAATGCGGGGTCCGGGGAGAGCGGATATAGTGAATGCGGGGTCCGGGGAGAGCGGATATAGGGAATGCGGGGTCCGGGGAGAGGGGATACAGTGAATGCGGGGTCCGGGGAGAGCGGATATATAATGAATGCGGGGTCCGGGGAGAGAGGATACAGGGAATGCGGGGTCCGGGGAGAGAGGATACAGTGAAAGCGGGGTTCGGGGAGAGCGGATATAGGGAATGCGGGGTCCGGGGAGAGCGGATATAGTGAATGCGGGGTCCGGGGAGAGAGGATATAGTGAATGCGGGGTCCGGGGAGAGTGGATACAGTGAATGCGGGGTCCGGGGAGAGCGGATACAGTGAATGCGGGGTCCGGGGAGAGCGGGATATAGTGAATGCGGGGTCCGGGGAGAGCGGATATAGTGAATGTGGGGTCCGGGGAGAGCGGATATAGTGAATGCGGGGTCCGGGGAGAGCGGATATAGTGAATGCGGGGTCCGGGGAGAGCGGATATAGGGAATGCGGGGTCCGGGGAGAGCGGATATAGTGAATGCGGGGTCCGGGGAGAGCGGATATAGTGAATGCGGGGTCCGGGGAGAGAGGATATAGGGAATGCGGGGTCCGGGGAGAGTGGATATAGTGAATGCGGGGTCCGGGGAGAGCGGGATATAGTGAATGCGGGGTCCGGGGAGAGCGGATATAGTGAATGCGGGGTCCGGGGAGAGCGGAGGATATAGTGAATGCGGGGTCCGGGGAGAGCGTACACAGTGAATGCGGGGTCCGGGGAGAGAGGATATAGTGAATGCGGGGTCCGGGGAGAGAGGATATAGTGAATGCGGGGTCCGGGGAGAGCAGAGTGATGGGGTGATGCCTGAACAAAGTTGGCGCCGTCCCTCTGGACAGGGAAGCAGGTGAAGGCCTTGCACTCGGCACGCTGCACTTCTATCCAATGACAGGTCCACTTGAAGGCGCTTTGATTTTTCTCACCTTGCACAGCGGCTGCGATTAGAGGACGGCGGCGATCCATCCCGCGTAATGTCTGCAATTAAACGCTACAGTGATAAAAGCTGATTATCTTGCAGCATCAGAGCTCTGTAACACGGACTATTGATAGCGAAGCGCGTCCCGTAAATATCGCCTATTGTTCACCGTGTAACCTTGTTCTGTTTGACTACCAATGACAATGAGGGATTTGCAGCGAACGTAGAGGGGGGGGGGGGGGGGAGAGAGTGGAAATCCGCGCGTAGATTAGACCCTGGGACGTCCTGATTTATTCCGCACTTCACAGCGCTCATCTCGCCGGCTTTACGCGGCCGGGGCCGTGATTTATTCCATAATCTTTGCAGAAACACAACAGGCTAATGCGTTACAGCGCCGAGGCTCGCCCGCCGCACACACAAATCGCACGCCGGGAGCACCTTTAACACGCGCGCCGAGGCGCATGGCTCGTAGGAGGACGGCGAGATGGAGATTTATACGGTAATAAGTAAATCAGTTTATTGCGTAAGCCGCTCCAAATCCTCGTTTTATGAGATGAATGTATCACTCTGTCGCAGAGTCCCGCTGCGGGATAAATCACCGCGATGGAGCGTCCTTTAAGAAGCGCTGCGCCGGACGCCGAAGGGTTAATGGAAGGAAAACGCGTCGTCGGTGCTGTACGAAGGCCAGCTAAAGGCCAACCCCGCCTCTCCCGTTATGGGGTGCGCTCCAGTCAGAACCGAAATTTTGTGCTTACACCATAAAGCCTCCATTCGCACATCTGGGCGTTCCAGGGAAACGCAGGCCGAATCGCATCTTTCCCACATTCCTGGAACACATGAAAATGCGCATCAAACTTGGGGTGCCGGTAAGTGTCAACGGCACCCCAAACCCAACAAGCAAAGGTGCAAATTACAAAAGCGGTAAAAAAAAAAATGCGCAAATCAGAAAGGGGGGAAAAAAAAATCTAAGAGCTACTGTGCGGTGCGCAGGGAAACCCATTGCAATCAGTCACATGACAATCGCGGCAGAATCGCATCTCGTTCGGGGGGCTATGAATGATAAAGGCACCTAAACACGCAATGCGCATTTTTCTGTGATTTCCAATTGTGGCGATTCTCCCCGAGATGTGAGCGGGGCCTAAGGGTTCTTTCACACCATTAAGGTGGGTCTGAGCTTGCACATTTTTTTTCTGTATGGATGTATGGAGAGCGCAAGTGATAGTTGGTCTTCACCAGAACTCCTGATGGTGGAAATGGGGTTGAAACTCTACTGGTGCAAACTGGTACTGGGTCATGGCCCTCAGGATGTCCCCACCAAAGGTTGCTGGAACAGACGGCTGCAGTGCGGAGACTGCTCACTAGGCGGTAGATAAGAGAGTAGTCAGGTTCAGGCAGAGATCATAGCAGGTGGAGGACAAGAGAGTAGTCAGGTTCAGGCAGAGATCATGGCAGGTGGAGGACAAGAGAGTAGTCAGGTTCAGGCAGAGATCATAGCAGGTGGAGGACAAGAGAGTAGTCAGGTTCAGGCAGAGATCATAGCAGGTGGAGGACAAGAGAGTAGTCAGGTTCAGGCAGAGATCATGGCAGGTGGAGGACAAGAGAGTAGTCAGGTTCAGGCAGAGATCATGGCAGGTGGAGGACAAGAGAGTAGTCAGGTTCAGGCAGAGATCATGGCAGGTGGAGGACAAGAGAGTAGTCAGGTTCAGAGATCATGGCAGGTGGAGGACAAGAGAGTAGTCGGGTTCCGGTTCATGGCAGGTGGAGGACAAGAGAGTAGTCAGGTTCAGGCAGAGATCATGGCAGGTGGAGGACAAGAGAGTAGTCGGGTTCCGGTTGAGTCATGGCAGGTGGAGGACAAGAGAGTAGTTGGGTCCAGGCAGAGATCATGGCAGGTGGAGGACAAGAGAGTAGTCAGGTTCAGGCAGAGAGTCATGGCAGGTGGAGGACAAGAGAGTAGTCAGGTTCAGGCAGAGATCATGGCAGGTGGAGGACAAGAGAGTAGTCAGGTTCAGGCAGAGATCATGGCAGGTGGAGGACAAGAGAGTAGTCAGGTTCAGGCAGAGATCATGGCAGGTGGAGGACAAGAGAGTAGTTGGGTTCCGGTTGAGTCATGGCAGGTGGTAGACAAGAGAGTAGTTGGGTCCAGGCAGAGATCATGGCAGGTGGAGGACATGAGAGTAGTTGGGTCCAGGCAGAGGGCATGGCAGGAGATAGACAAGAAACTTGTCGGGTTTAGGCAGAGGTCATAGCAGGCAGTAGACAAGAGAGTAGTCGGGATCAGGCAGAGGTCATGGCAGGTGGCAAACAAGAGAGTAGTTGGGTCCAGGAAGAGGTCATGGAAGGTGGTAGATAAGAGTAGTCGTGTCCATGCAACGTTCATGGCAGGTGGTAGACAAGAGAGTTGTCGTTTTCAGACACAGGTTGTGGCAGGCAACAGACAAGAAAGTAGTTTGGTCCATGCAAAGGTCATAGCAGGCGGTAGACGAGAGAGTAGTTGGGTCCAGGCAGAGGTTATGGCAGCTGGTAGACGAGAGAGTAGTCAAGTTCTAGACAGCGCCCAGGACTCAGCATCATCAGATGAGGTTCATGTGATCCCAAGAGAGCACCCAGGACACAAGATCATCAGATGAGGTTCCTTTGATCCCCAGGACAGCGCCATCAGGTTCCTCCCAGGAGATTGCCAGGCATCATCAGATGAGGTTCCTGTGATCCCAGGACAGCGCCCAGGACACAACATCATCAGATGAGGTTCCTGTGATCCCAGGAGAGAGCCCAGGACACAACATCATCAGATGAGGTTCCTGTGATCCCAGGAGAGCGCCAAGGACTCAGCATCATCAGATGAGGTTCCTGTGTTCCCAGGAGAGAGCCCAGGACTCAGCATCATCAGATGAGGTTCCTTTGATCCCAGGACAGCTCCCAGGACTCAGCATCATCAGATGAGGTTCCTTTTTGATCCGAGGACTCAGCATCATCAGTTCCTGTGATCCCAGGACAGCGCCAGGACTCAGCATCATCAGATGAGGTTCCTGTGTTCCCTGAGAGCCCAGGGCATCATCAGATGAGGTTCCTTTGATCCCAGGACAGCTCCCAGGTCTCATCATCAGATGAGGTTCCTCTGATCTCAGGGCAGCTCCCAGGACACAGCATCATCAGATGAGGTTCCTCTGATCCCAGGACAGAGCCCAGGTCTCAGCATCATCAGATGAGGTTCCTCTGATCCCAGGACAGAGCCCAGGACTCAGCCTCATCAGATGAGGTTCCTCTGATCCCAGGGCAGAGCCCAGCACACAGCCTCATTAGATATCAGGTTCAAGATGTGGGACTGTCCCTGTCAATCTGGGATAGTCCTCATCTATGTAGTTTGTTTTACAATGCGTTGCCATAAGGCACGTGCTTTGAGAAACGTTGTGATGTGAACAAGCCCTGGCATTTTTTGGGACCCGCTCCTTCTCTCTTGAGACTGCTGTGACCCGCAACCTTCCTGGTGATTCCACTGCGTTTGGGTAACTCCAGCCGCTAATTCTTGAAACCCGTACGGGGACCGAAGAACACAACAAAGCGAAAGCGAAAAATCCTGCAAAAGAAGGACGAGCGGTAATTAAATCTAATTGTACGAATAAAAAAAACCAGTGGGCAGAAATAGGTGAAAGCGGCAAACTTGGAGCCTTTATGGTCACGGTGGAACCCGCTGACCTCCGGCGAGGGCGATAAAGGCCCCTCCACCCACCTACGCAATTATATTTTCCGGCTGTAACGCTCCTGGATTTATACGGCCGTTAAAGTCGCTTATGGCGCTTTGTTATGAACAGATAATGTTTTTTAATTACCTGCTGCTAATTCCGCATCTTTTCCCGGCTCCTGTAAAAAAAAAAGGAAAAAAACCCGCGCGCTGTATTTTTCGCTGGCACATTTAATCTTCCTTCCCGCCGAGCAGGCGGGCTAAAATGGCTGCTAATGCAAGCACATTGATAGGATATTACTATTGTTATTGCTGGAGAAGAATTTTGGGACCGCCGCCTGCTCGGGCGCATGTTCCCCCCACCCCCCCCGCCGCCGCCGCCCGCCGTCGGATTATAATTAAATTAACTTGAAACCAACGGCCTTAATTATTCCACTTATCGCTCCCGTTAATAAATTAGCTGGTTGTTTAGAGCCTCTTTTGCTGGAGACGAGACGTTATAGCGGCGGCCGCGTTGGCTCGTTGGCGTTAGAAATACGGCCGCTGCAATGTCATTATCGGCTGATTGCGGCTGACCGGCTGACACTTTGCAATTTATTTGGCGATTCTCGACATCCGTGAGAGACGCGGTCATGCTATGTGGTGTCAGCGAGCCATCACGGCTATCACGCTGCTGAGATCTAATTACTCCAAAGCGTGTTTATTGTGAGTTTTATTACATTTCGCACGACGGCGTGCCGCCGCTGGATGGCGAGCGCAGTATCGCTGGAGAGGACTTAAAGGTGAACTCCACGATTGCGATTTCATCCGAGTACAGGGGCGGACTGACCATTTGGAAACTCGGGCACTGCCTGAGGGCCCGGGGTCAGTAGGGGGCCCCATGAGATGCCCCTGGTACCTTTTTCATAAGCTTTTTTGAGTTTGGGCAAGGACACAGGGGCCCATGATCCCCTATTGCCCGGGGGCCCCATGAGTTGTCAGTCCGCCCCGTCCGAGAACGTATTCACAGACGTATTTCGGTATAACTTTAGGCACAGCTAGTATACTGCTTGGTGGAGGCTTTTATGTTAGCTTCCTGCAGCACAGAGGTGGGGGCTGGGCTGTATGCAGAGCTGTCAGTCTAACACTGGGTGCATAGTGAGCAGAGTGATGGCCTAATCATTGTTCTGTTGCTCCCTCGCCGTCCAATCAAAGGATGGGGGTGGGTCTTGACCGAATGTTGTTGTTTTTTTTTGTTGTTTTTTTAAGTGGGGGTCATCAAGCTCAATAATTGCTTTCACTGGGGGTTATTGTGTCCACTGATACCAATGCTGGGGGTTATTTGTGTCCACTGATACCAATGCTGGGGGTTATTGTGTCCACTGATACCAATGCTGGGGGTTATTGTGTCCACTGATACCAATGCTGGGGGTTATTGTGTCCACTGATACCAATGCTGGGGGTTATTGTGTTCACTGATACCAATGCTGGGGGTTATAAACCATAAACAATGCTGCGCTACATTCAAACTAATTTATGTGAATGTGGAATCCAACATCTCAAATCAAAATTGTGACAATAAT